AAGAGGTCCCCGAATCATCAGCATTTGTGGTAACGTTGACAATTGATCCAACTACCCAGCTCTTGCTGTCATAATGGTCTTCTCGATGGAAACGCCTCGCTTCATGCAGCCTCGTTCGGGTTTATCATTTGCGTGGATCATCGTGGATCACCGTAAACGGGAGAAGTACTTACTTGACGCACGAACAGCTCCTCGTCCATACAAGCCAACCGTACGCGAGCTTTCAAGTAGCATGCAGGTGTAAAATTTATCCGTATTCACGATTCGCCTGGATCCGGCTAGTGAATTCGTGACTTCAAGAACGTGTCTCCGAAACTCCGGTGATTGTTTAGTAACGGAAGCGAGACGTTCAGCTTCCGATTTAGCCCCAACACCTGTAGTACGTCCACGAGACGAAAACAGTAGACACAGTTAGGGAAGCTGGCACTTCCGAACGTTTAGCCGATTGTATTGCTTACTGAGTAGAAAGCAAAAGGTATAGTGACTAGACTACTCTGTTTACAAAATCCTGTTATCGCTACAGCGAGCAGGACAGCCTCCTGGCACTGCCAGAGGCTCTAGCCTAGTAGTTGCAACTGCAACTGCAAGGACTGCCAGCTGGTAGTAAATGCAACTTGCATTCACTCCAAAGTGCAATGAGGGCAAGGCTTTCAACCTGAGCCCCACGCTACAATTCCCTCCCAAGCCTTGCTCACAACTTGCAAATAGGCAATATGGGTATTTACAAGTTACTATATTGCAACGTCAGTTTGGTACACTGTACCACTATTTTGGGACACTGTACCATAATCCAAATTTCATTTTTCCGCATGCCTACAACCACACAGGTTGAGTCATGGATACACAAGCCACTGACCTTGTGCGTCTCACTACTTCAAAGCAACTGCCGAAATAGTAATGACTTTGCTCACACTGTGACTGCCAACTTGGCACATGAAGATCTCTAGCTCGAGGTCAGCTTCTGTAAAGCTGTCGCCAACTTGGCATCCTCGGCAGCTTCCACGTAGGTACGTATTAGCACGGGGATATCCTGTGCTAGAGACTTCAAAGGCTCCCATGAGTCCTCTATGGGCTCTAAGCCGCACCAACTCACTAGGAGCTCAAAAGCCTGGTTCTGTTCGTTCCAACGGTGCTTGTTAAGTCGGTCAACCTTCAACACAATGCCCTGGGAGGCGACGTGCTCCAGTAGCTCCTCCGTAACTTCCAGGTCGCTGTCCGCGTAGAACTTCAAGCGTGAAGCATGCACATCTTGCTCCTTGCCGGTAACGAGGTGCCGAACACGAAACGAATGAGAGTCCGCACGAGTAACTACGTAGGGACCGATCCAGGTGACTAGCAACTTGTTGTGTCGTCGCTCATCGACACGTGATCGTAGGACGTAATCACCCGCAGAAAAGTTTACTTCTTGTGCACCTCTGGATTTTCTCTTGTTCAGCAACGTGTTTTTCTCACGCTTGTCCTTGACGGCACAGTGCATGTCCTCAATACTGGAACGTAGTTTCGCCAGAGAATTCTCGATGACTGCACTCGAAATATAGACTGCCTTAGGTTGCTCTTCAGGTACATGCAGGATGTAGGCTGGTGCTGGGCATGGCAAGCCAGTGAATACCTCAACAGGGGCCTTGTTAGCTAGAGAAGCCACCGGAGAGTGATTCATGTTAGATTGCACCAAAGGTATAAGATAGATCCAGTCGTTGTGCGAAATCTTGTACTCCATAATCATTGCACGTAGCACTTGCAGTATATCTCTGTTTGCACGTTCCACAGATCCATTGATCCACGGACTATACGCCACTACGAACTGCTGTTCACATTTCAGTCGCTTGCATAATTCGGCAAGAACTTGGTTCTTGAAATGCGAGCCACTGTCACTGACCCATACAGGCGGTACACCGAACCGACTGTGCCACCCAAGCAGGCCATCAACTGCAACCTCACTTGTTGGTGTATCACACGCAATCAACTCGCAGAAATGGGTAAAGTTGTCCTTCAGCAGTAGTAGGTACTTGCATGAGCCAAATCCATCACCCAAATAAAGGAAATCCCAGTGTAAAGCTCCATTGCGAATGTCAGAGCGGTACAGCTCACCCCATGGTCTAAGCACCACCCTACCTCCTTTTACATGCTGACAGAGCAAGCAGGAGCGCAGGAAACGACGAACTAGAGCAGAGATTCCCTCAATCGAAAATACACGGCGAATGTGGTTCAAGACCACGGCTTCACCACGGTGACCCTGTGCCCCACAATGAGCGATGATCAGGAGTCGCTGGATGAGAGTCGTGGCAGCAGTAGGTATCCAAATATAGCCATCAAGTCGGTAGACACCATGTCCATCTGCAGCACTAGCAGTAGGAGCAGAGGCTACATGAGCCGCTTGCGTAGCCGCGATTTCACTCAACGTCGGCCACGTGAAGTTCTCTTGGTCGAGAGGCCGAAGCAGAGGCTTCCGAGAAACATTAGTCTGTGAACGAGTCACTCGCTTCAAGCTAGGCTTCGTAGTCGTAGATGCCGTAGGGGTAGCAGCGCCGCCCCACCGACTAAGCATATCCGCCCACAAGTTGTTGACACCCTCGATGTGAACGATAGTATAGCGAAACTCCATGAGTTTGACAGCCCATCGAAGTAATTTTCCACGTACGTGCTTCTTTACTTCTTGTCCAGGGGCAAAAACATGAACGAGGTTTCGGTGGTCACAAAACACCTTGAAACCACCGGGCCTCAGCAACAGGTAGTCAAGGTCTTCACAGGAGAGCACGATTGGTAGTGCCTCTTTCTCAATGACGCTCCAGTGTAGCTGAGCGCCAGTGAACGAACCGCTCTTGCATACCAGTAGCTCATGTTCCTGTTCAGTAATTGCCACTCCTTGTTTCCATTCACCCACTTGAGTAAGGACCGAAGCCCAACCGTAGTCACTCGCATCTGTAAACAAGCAGTAGGTTGCCTGCTCACGCGGGTGTGTCATCATGGCCGAGCTCTGCAGGAGCTTCTTGACCAGTTCGAAACTGCGGAGCTCATCATCATCCAACGCGATGCTGATCCCTGAAGCAACACGCTTCGTCTTTCGGTTACCAGCAAGTGCGCGATCCAACAGCGATTGCAACGGCCGAACGGTGCGAGCGTAGTCAACCAAACTGTCTCGCATCCAGTTCGTTGCGCAGATAAACTGCTGTAATTGTCCCGCTGTGACTGGCACTGGCATTGAGGTGAGCCCATCAATCCGTTTTGGGTCATGGCGAACACCATTCTCATCAATTACCTTACCACACCACGTAACTGAGCGTTAGTACAACGAGGACTTCTTCAGACTCAACTTCAATCCGAATTCGTTCACCAAGTCAAACAGTCTCTTTAGAGCAACAAGGTAACTCTCTATAGTGTCAGAGTAGAGCAAGAGATCGTCAATCCAGATAAGTAAATTGTGATCGAGTAGCTCAGCGAAACAGTTTTCCATCGAGACTTGAAAATGTAACGCCGAGACACAACTTCCTTGCATCACACGGGTTGGCGTGAACACGCCCTCATCCGTCATATACGAGAGCTGCTCTCTGCATTCTATCGCCACAGCAAGTTGCCAAAAGCTGCGGATAAAGTCGAAAAGACCGTAGTGTTTCTTTCCTTTCAATCGCTCCAACTTGGTCTTCAAGTTTGGCATAACGCCTGCAATTGCTTCGGTCATCGCATTCAATGGCTTGTAATCCACCGCTTGGCGAAACTCATTGACCTTCGGCTTCTTAAGAGGCAGAGCAGCGCAAGCCCAATGACTGCTAGGGTTTTTGTAAACCCAGCCAAGGTTCACTAGAGTCTGGTTGAACTCCTTCAGGAACGCACTCTGTAAGGGTCCGTACTGCCGAGCTTTGCAGCGGAAAGGCTTTGCATCCTGCTTCAAGCGAAGCTTGTACGGTGGCACCTTAGCAGGAGGGTCGCCACAGAGAACTAGCCGCCAAATGTCGTGCTTCTTAGCGATTCGACGCAATTCCTTCATGAATTTCATTGGAAAACCGTTATCCAGTGCAGCAGTGAGCCGTTTTGCAAGGCCTCCCTGGATATCAAGGTCATTTGCATGACCAGGCCGAAATTCATCATCCCTCGCAATGGGATCCTCATCGTCATTGAGTTTACCACCAGCAAGTTGCTCGAGTTGTCTGTCCACATTGATTCCAAGAGAGAGCAGCACATCGTTGCCGACGATAAATTCATCATCGTTTTGCTCAATCATGAGACAATTGACGGGTTCTGCGAGCTCCACAGGTCCAGCAGCAGTATGTAGACGAATTGCCAGCAGTACAGACTCACGCGCTTCAACATCGTGACCGCCAACAGCTTTCCCAATCACTGGTGTGCTCAACGGGACAGACTTCACGTTGTCGTCGAGCCGCATGAGCTCGTTGAAGTTGTTCCGACTCAACAGGCACCTGTCCGAGCCTGTATCCGCACAGTACTGCAGGTCATACACGTCGTTCAGCGTGATGGTATTCACTCCACCCAGACGCTTCTTAATCCGCTTCATCCTGCTCTTGTCATGGCGAGAGGTATGAAACTTCTTCGGTAATTCCTTCTTCTCCTCTGGAGACGCAGTTGGGCAATTCGACACATAGTGTGGCCCACTGCATTTAAGACATCCGTCTTTTGGTACGAGAGGTCGCTTCTTCTCTGAGTCCTGGTTTACTACAGATCGTGTCGCTCGATTGACATCCCCGCCCTTAGATTCATGTGTGCCACGCTGGCGACGGCCATGCTGGTCACTCAAACTCTTATGATCCTGGAGCTTGGGCACCTTCTCAGACCTAGCGAACCTCTCCTCGTTGCGTGAACGTTTGCGACGGCGAAAGTCGCGATCCTGCTCCAACGCCTTTTCCAAGATCAGGTCATGGAGTTTTAACTCGTCACTACGCGCCTCCGTCGATTGGAAACGAATAGCAGTTTGCACATCTGCTTTGAGCTCACTGGGCGTCAGTGACTCAATAAGCAGTTTACACTTCTCTTTTTGACCGTGCTGACCTTCAAAACAGGTCACTAGACCGTGTTCTTCGATCAGTTCGTTGCAAAGCATGAAGTACTGCAGCACGCGCTCGTTCACGTCTGTTTCAGACATGTTAAGACGCAGCTTCTTACCAAAAAGCATATCTATGTCGGGAAGTGTGTCGTTTATAACACGTTCGACAATCGCCTGAATTTCTGACGTAATTTGGTCATCGGTCACAGCGTTGGGCGCAATTCCGCCCCGGCGGTAGGTACAGAGAGCCTTCAACAGTCTTTCGTCGACGGTACTCTTAATTGTTTCCTTGAGCCGCTCGTAGAGTTCATCATCACCCTTGCTGCGAGCTTTCACGCTCTCTTCATACTCAGCTCGAGCTTTCTTCCACTTGATTAATGCAGAGTGGGACATGGACGACAGTCGGGGCGCGACCACCGGAATGAGCAACGGCACACCAACGGTGCTGATGTCACTGGCCAATGGAGCATCATCTTCAACTGTCTTGCCGCGACGGTCCGGTTTCTTCATCGTGTGAACGTGGGTTCACTAAAGTCGACTTTGTAGTACGTCCACGAGACGAAAACAGTAGACACAGTTAGGGAAGCTGGCACTTCCGAACGTTTAGCCGATTGTATTGCTTACTGAGTAGAAAGCAAAAGGTATAGTGACTAGACTACTCTGTTTACAAAATCCTGTTATCGCTACAGCGAGCAGGACAGCCTCCTGGCACTGCCAGAGGCTCTAGCCTAGTAGTTGCAACTGCAACTGCAAGGACTGCCAGATGCAACTTGCATTCACTCCAAAGTGCAATGAGGGCAAGGCTTTCAACCTGAGCCCCACGCTACAACACCAACAATGCGATCTTCCAGTTTGCTCGAGCAGTAAAGCTTAAAGCTTAGTACAAGCCACGATGTCGAGCAGCAGCATACGTACAGTTTAAGGTGGTAGTTGCCGGTAGACTTTCGAGGATTGTAGACAATAAGATGGCTAGCATACTTCGAACGACAGGCAAAGCTAGCCTCATCCACTGAGACGTTTCGCCCCGGGATCACATGGCGATTGCAGCGTTGTTTTAGCATTGTAATGAGAGGTCGAGTTCTTGTAGCAGGATCGCGCTGCAGCTCTCCACCAGTCGCTTGTCTACGAAAAGCTTTTTTTGCGAATGTGAAGGAACCGCCTCCAATTTATTATCGATGACAGATTAGTAGAGCTGGTTCCAGAAAATATTCTTGCTTCTTCATTGTCAAACCAATAATTACGCATTTCTCCTTTATGTCATATACCACAGGATCTCCCAAGAATTTCGTAAGTTCATCTAGCTTAATCGGTTTTGCAGCTTCAGTCTGATTTATCAATGCGTAATCGTTTAAAAAGGCAATGACTTGCCTCCAAAACGCGATAGGAAGGAAGGCAAAATACGCGAGGATGCTGAGTGAAGAAACAACTTCTTACTGCTTTCTTGCAGCCGAGCCGTCGCTGTTCCGTCACCATCCCCGGAGCCGGGTCTAGCGATGCCGTCGGCGAAAACCTCATACTTGTAATAGCTTCCACTTCAGCAGGGCATAAGTCAATTTGAAGCTCTTTTTGACTTCGGAAGACTGACCACTCGCGATATCCTGCGTCTTCTATTTCTTCGAAGACTTCCGCAAGAGTTAGGATATTCATGTACCTCGGAGCCATGCTATACAGCGCACTCTATGATTCGCCAAATTCAACGCTGTTCTTTTGCATTGCGACGAACCGCCCAACCCCACGCCGAGCGACACTTTCGGAAATCTCATGAACATGATCTTTACTCTGGAGCGCTGTATTTACCCATCGTATCTCGAAGATTGGGGTGGGCACGGACACACCTTCACCGTTCTTTTTGTTCTCGATACTAAAGCAAGCCACCGCCACCACCAGATATGCGGCTCCATCTTCGTCATAGTACGCAGCGCTCATCCAGTCTACTTGGGTAGATGATACAAATGCTACACTCGCGTTTAGAAACGCTTTGGCCGACTCTTGCACTCGAAGCAGCAATTCTTTTCGGGTTGCACCTGTATGGTTCGCTTTCTTTGTCTTGCCACCACGTGTTTTACTCATCAACTTTGTCGTAGTCCGACTGAAGATATGGAAGTGACGAGTGTCATACAAGCTATAGTACAAACAGTCCATTGAAAAGCGATCGTGGAAAAGCCATTCACGTGATCAAGCTTTTGGGTGTTCCGGAGTGATGGCGAGCCGAAGCAAACAAATGAATCGGAGCGAGAAGCGAAGCGTCTCGCTGGCCTCCCAATGACATGGGTGATCGTTCCTTACGCGGTAATGAGTTATTTATACCCCTACTCCTTAGCTAGTGACCCTCGTTCTAATTAAAGAACATTGCATGCGTACAGACACTCCTATTGCTTTTAAGATGCTTGGAAGGCACTGCACAAAGAAGGGTGGTTTCCAAGGTCCCCACGACGTGGTTTAGATGATCGGTATCGCTACGTTCACCCGGGTGGTAATCCGGATGGAGAAAAAGGTTTTGACTTTTTCTTGGGCGAGCAGGCGCTTACAGAATTTTACAATCTTATGTATGGGGAACATGTCACCGACATGGGTGATAAGGAGGCTGGTGGTACACTGACTTTACCTACCGAAGAGCGAGATCTCACTAGACCATCGCGTCAGTACAGCTGTAGTACTTCAAGCTCGATTTCAGGAGGTATCCGAAGTGGAGCCACAGGAGATATCGGCAGACCAATTGGACATAAAAATAGTGACTGATCATTACGGTTTGGTTCGGCAAGTACCTGATAATGCAACAACCGACTGCGAGCCTACTGTGGAAAACATTGGGACTGACCATCACTGATAGTCTCGATTCGTCCCCGGTTTGCGCAGTATGCCAAGAGGTGTGTTCTAGAGCTCGACAGTTCTTAACGTGCTCAGCCTACTTACACCATTTCTGCTCTCACGACGTCTGCATATATCTTCGGCTTCGCGACCAAAACGACCAACCGATAACCGATTTTGGGGAAACGTGTTATTGTACCAAACAATGCTTTGGATCCACAACGACCGCACTCGCAAGCAAGGATGGATGTCCTTCCGATTCCCAGGCGGCGCAGATCTATTTTGTGCAACGCGAAAGCAAGTCTTCAGATAACGGTCAAAGCAGCCAAGAAACGGAACCATCGAATTATAGCTCTCGGACCAAAGGAAATGGTAAGCGTGCAGCACGGCCATACGTAACCCCCAAATAAGCTACAACGACGGCCGAATCTCGACGTGATCCAACAACGACGAAGTTTAAGATAAAAACATGCCTCGATGGGTACACACAGTGGGCTGATTTCTCAACTCGGAGAATTTGAGATCTTGCAGTCTTGAAACTACAGAGTGAGTCGGAGGGAGGGAGACAGGAGGTTGGCATGGCTGATCTCAATCGGCACACCAGCAGCTCTGCCATACACAGCTGTCCGGAAAGACCATACTTCCTTGTCAATGCCGCCGAGCAAGGCGCCTGCATAAACACGGATCGTGAGGTCCACCTTGAAAGCAGTGATGCCGACACAGACGACACGGTGGATAGTCTTAATGTGGAGAGGGGGTTCCCTATGGTAGACAGTGGTACCGACGCGGACGAGTCTGAGGCCTACACCAGCGCGGATAAAGTGTTCCGTTTTGAAAGCACTGGTACCGCCATGGACGACGCGGAGTTAGCGGAGGCTAACAGCATCTCCGGGGGGAGTATCTCGTCTGGCCCTCAGCGGTACCGACACGGACGACAATGAGATCTACAGCAGAGAGGAGAGCAGGCTCCGTCAGATCGACACTGGTGCGGACACGGACGACACTGAAGCCTACAGCAGTGCGGAGGCGCTTCTCGATCTCATCGACAGCCGCGCCGACGCGGACGTGTCGGAGACGTACACCGCAGAAATGGGCGCTCGGGATACTGAACGCGGTGCTTCCAAGCGCGAAAACGAGGTCTTCAGTAGCAGTGAAACCGACGAGAGCCGAAACACAGAAGACGGAACACCAGAGCTATCAGCATAACAGGACGAAGATGACGACTCCTACTATGTTATCGCTGATCCCGCTACACTTTCCATCCAGTTGAGTATTGTGAACGCATGTGAGCTATTTATATCTGTCTTCTTATCGACGTTTTGTATACATAAGAATACGAGGTGAAATAAGATCGAAAAGCATCCAGCAACGCAAAACTATACGGAAAGCCCATGAGTTCTTCGCAGGTGTGCGCCTAGTCTGCACATCCATATATAATTGATTAGCGTCTGACGTTATCCTCGTAGACTTTGGGTAGATTTCGATGGCATCAAGGACATCTGAACTTCCACACCTTGACCAGGGGTTAATGGTAACTCCTAAATCGGTGAAGTTAATATTGTGAAAATATCACCTGTAGACCAGTTAATATAAAAATATCACCTAATATTTTCTTCTGAGACAATATGATATTATTAAATATCAACTTAATATTAGGTAATACGATATTATATTTTTCAATGATTGCGTAATCGGGTACATTAACGAATCAGATGTCGTTAACGCTCGGCTAGCTGAAATATTATTAATCAACCGTGAGGGAGGGACAATTGTGACGTCGTGTGTTGGCACTGCTGAGCGAATTAATCTAGCGCCACAGGCAGCAGGTTTATTAGACGCACGATGTCGACGAGGAGATCGGTAGAGAACAAGAACAAATGTCTTGATTTCGCTCTTCCAACGTTAAACAGCTGCAAGCGTTTTCAGTTTTCCATCTCGATCGCCTTTGTCTGTGTCACAGTGAAATACTATAGCAAATACTTGTCAGTCTTAAAGCCTACTGCTTTTCTAGCGAAAAAGTTTTTGGCTCCGCTCGGTTCACAGAGGGTAAGCTGGCAAGAAACGTACTTAAGTGGGAAAATATCATAACATATCATGTAGTATCTAATATTTTTCTGTTCTCCGAGTTAATATAAAAATATTATGTTAACTTTTGCAAAATTGAGTTACTAATACTATTTATTATCGAAAATAGTACTATTACTATCAAAAATATCATATGATATTTGGTTACCATTAGCCCCTGACCTTGACGCCAATTCGCACACATTCGGCAGATCGCTATTTGCCGATTTGAAAAATCTTACTAAGGTAAAATGCCACTATAAGTCATTTGGATCAGTTTAAGGCGCACCAATAGCAGTCGTAGATGCATCTGATTGGTTATTTTTAGAGCGGCGCTCGCCCACGAATACCTGTCAGTTTTGATCTAGCTTCCAACCATGAAGCGTCGCACAACGTATAGCAGCAAGAAGAAGATGGAATTGGTGAGGTCTATTCGCGAGGGAGGCAACATTGAAGCTATTGGCGAGGAGAGCGGTGTTCCAGTTCGAAACTTGTTCCGGTGGGTTGGAGAGGACGTTAATTGGCGTGAGAACGGGAATAATGGCCCCTACAGCTTCAGCAAACGGCGCGGACCTGATCCCACTCTGCCCAAGGAAGCCGAAAAAAGTATTCACGAATGGGTTGTGGGTCAACAAGTTGAGGGAGCTCCGGTTGGAAGGAAGGATATCGTCAGAAAAGCTCAACAGATTTCAAAGCTAGTTACAGGCGAACCAGTAGGCATGGGATGGCACCGTCGGTTTAAAGGAAGATTTCATGACTTGAGCTCTCGTGCTTCTCAGTCGGTGTCAAAGGTGCGCAATAATGTGACTGAATTGGAGGTGGCTACACTTTTCAGTTCTTTGGCTAAGCTTATCGTGGAGTAGAACATGGATGGGAGCCGCGTTTTCAACATGGACGAAACTGCATTTGAAAGCTCTCGTAAAACCACACGGGTAATAGCACTTAAAGGATCCAAGTACGTCTGGCATACGGATCCTACTACCAGCTTTCACCTCTCGATTGTAGCGTGCGGTAGCGCTAGTGGTTTCGTCGTTCCTCCGTTATTCATTCTACCTGGTGAGCGTGTGGAGACCGAACTCTTAGAGCAATGCAGTATTCATGGAGCAGCAGTGACAACTACTCCAAAGGCATTTATGACAGCGACGCTATCCGCAAAATGGATTGTTTTTTCGCTTTGTCGGTGCCCACACCTGTCAAGCGACCGCTACTTCTCGTCATGGATGGCTGTTCCTCTCATATTGTAACCGAAATAGCTGAGACCGCTGATCGGATGCAGATCAGATTGGTGTGCCTACCTGCCAACGGCACACACTTACTGCAGCTATTGGATACTGCCGTGTTTTCTTCGTTCAAAAATACGCTCCAAGATCTTATCATTCGAGCTAACGGGATTAATACTATCAGCAAGGAAAAGGCTCTTCAAATGGCCGCACTAGCGTGGACAAGTTGCAATTTCAACAGCAATATCTCATCTGGATTTCAGAGCTGCGGCATTTTTCCGTCAAATCTTGTAAAAATGCACGAGAAGCTACACAATTTCCAAAGCAACGGAGTTTCGGCCACCGTCAAAAGGCTTCTTAGCTGCGATACAAGGAGACAGTACAGCACGATATCTTGCTTCTGCCTGCTCGCCAACACAAACAGAGTAGGAAAATAAAAACCAAGACAGTGGCTGGTAGATTGTTAACGCGTGAGATGCTTCAGCAACCTGACCAGCCCTCCCAACGAAACGCGCCGAAGCGAACAAGAAAATCGCAGAGAGACAGAATTTCTACAAAAACGACAGCGAGTGGTATGCACCATCAGGACCAGGAGCTCCATCAAAAGCAATACCACGATCACAACCACGAGAACGAGCACAAACACGAAGAGGAACAAGGCATGGAGAGCGAATTGGTGCTAGTGCAGCAACAGTCAGAAGTTGCTAGCAGTGATACGGTTCTGTTCGAGGTGAGCTTCTAAATACTCCGGATTTTAATACACCATCTATTTTGATCCCAGTCAAGGTTATAATTTTACGTGGGTTCTAATCGGAATATACAGAAATTCAACAGTACGTGCACGATCGTACTTAAAAGCCTCTTGTCCATACTCAAGTCAAGTTTAAAATTGTCTTAAACTGGCACACGGCGAAAAAAGATGGTAATTTCAAACCGCCACTGATGGCCGAATAGTACTCAATTAATGTGTTGCGCTTAGCAATAAGAAAGACGAGATTCTGATAATTCCAGTCGTGGTTGTTTATTCTCATCTTCAATGTCCGCTGAAAATTATGAGCTTTTAAAGTTGGTAATCTGTCACTGACTTAAACTGGCATTTTACCTTAGTCTAACACTTGCGGTTTATTAAAGGTTTATGAGCCTAGATTTCGCTCAACAAACGCCTTTCTTGTGACTCTCCCACTTTTTTTAAAAATGTACAACTTTTAAAGATGAGGACAATTCGAGTCATGTCTACACTTGGCTACAGCAATCTCTCTGTCTGTCCAAGGTAAGTAATGCAAGTATGTAGTAGAAACATATCGGCACGTACTCTATTTCTAGATCACGCTATTGATGATACAGCGTCGACAGAAATGTTTTCAGACAGAGATCACTCGTTTAGACGCCCTTTTAGATGCGCATATCGAGCGCCAAATATGCGATGCAAAAAGAAGGCTGTGATGAGGACATCATCAGGGATCATGTCAAGGAAGGTTCTAAAAGAGCGAGAATACAGAGCTCGAGTATGTGAGGACGATGCGCTTAATCGTCTTGTGGTGTGGGCTTACCACGTGGAAGTGATGATACCACGACTCCGACTTCGGTCTCGAAATCGCTAGGAGTTCTGAGCTTGTACTTGACAGATGCATGAGTATATTTGTTCATCGCGATGATGCAGTATCGTTAGACGGAAATACTAGCTATTTCATACTTTAAACCTGACTTTACTATGTAGTTACGAACGTCGTACCGGTCATTCTTGAACACGACGATGTTCTATATGATGCCAATGTGGTGTAGGGATTTCCAGATTCGACCATACGCCAACCTACTTTAGATCAAGAATCGGCTCGGTCTGATAACCCAGATCATAGGAACAAAGGATCACGGTAAGTACTCAGCGATCTGTCCGGATGATGCTATCCGGATAGTCGCTGAGCCAGCGGAAAGGGCCGGTAGAGATCCGAAACGACTACATTTCACTAGATATTTGTATGAGAACATAGGATTAAATAGGGGGAGCCGAAAAGGCTCCCAGAAGATAACAGAGCAGAATTTTCCTAGTCCAAGACACGTGTACACTCTTCCGGTAAATCCCTGCATAGGGCTGGATTATGCCTGTCGTCGATACTCGAGAGAAATAGCTTGTAGTGTGGTGTAGTGATTTCTCCGTGGTTGCGGATTATCACCCGTCGACAAAGACGTGACACCGCCCAAGCTGTTCAAGCGACGAACCCTCGGTCGGGTGATGTACGGAGACGCCAAGGTGCAAGGGACTCGACGGCGTCACCTCCGAGTTTTCAACAAGTATCGGATACGGCCCTATGTCACTGAATCCAGGCTGTCCTTATTATTAATAATGGACTGGCCGGATTCGCATTCAGCGGACCATCTACGGTACGAACCCTCAGTGGCGGTTGGGATGAGTTCGCGGAATACTCAGCGACCTTTGGAAGACACGTTCACCGTCTGGGACAGGGCGCGGACCGTTAAAGATGCTCATGCGACAGTGCAGACGACGCTTGGCATGCAAGAAGATCCATAACGGATCATTGTTCACTTGATATTTGTATACTTGATTAGGACTTCTTATTAGGAATAGACCCGAAAGGGTAAGCTTAAATACAGAACAGAATTTCCACTCAAGCACACAGAGCGACGTCCGGCTTCAAGGTAAGCGTCAGGTCAAGCTTGTTTGAGTGTGTTATGCCTGTCGGTGAACTCGAAGCTCTGTAGCGAGGGTTCATCCGGCAAGGCCAAGAGACTTTGTGTATTGGCCGATTATTATCGGGAGGTTTTACGTGACGGCTTATTGTTGCCTATTTGCACGACTGGGAGTGCTTGAATTGCCTCCCTTTTATTTCTTCCAGCCGAGTGTTGAACACTCGGTGATCTCGTAAAAGGCTTACCCGTGCCTGGTACCCTTCCGCTGTTGGGACCACGAGGATTCAAAACACCTGCTAGCTTTGCTCGTGCTAGTAGCGTGTTCTTATTTTACTGGTTGGCCTATATAAGTAGTTTACAAGGTCCAGTTTGTCCCGGTGCAAGGGCAGAACTGGGGTCTTCAGGTCCGCCCGAACGATCGTTTACTATCCTAGTATACGTATTGTTGTGGGAACATCCTAACTACATCTGTAGCTAGAGTTCACGTGGGATTTCCAACACCACAACTGGTGCCGCGACCCGGGAACAGATTGTGACCATTGTGAACTGTTTGTATGGCCTTCCAGTTTACGAGCTACCAAGAGAAGAAGAACAAGAAAAAGACAAGAAACATGGCGAAAGGACAACCGACGGTACCAGTTATGCCTGCCAAGTCTGGCGGGGCTCGCAACGAGAGTTCAAGCCCGGCTGCGCGCTTTGCAGCCTGCACCGAGCTTTCAGTGAGCTTCGACGACGAAGCGGACATCGGTCCTGACGCCCACGATTATGAAGATTACGAAGATAAGACGCCGGCTCCAGAGCCAGGCGCAGCGACGCCGGAGACGGCCACGCTATCATCGGGGCTGAGCGGGGCGACCAAGTCCCTTTCGAGGAACCTCGCCGACGAGCTCGATGATGTTGCGGAACCGGAACCGGCCTATGATGATTATGACGATGGGACCGAGGGTTTTAAGCCTTCGGTGGCGAGTGCAAAGCATTCAGCACTGCTAAAGGCACCTCGCCCACCTATCAACGGTGATACACCAGCCGCCAAGCGCGTTTTCGACCGCGTACAAGCGCTGATGCAGAATGATGAGTGGATGCAGCTGTTCAAGCCCATCCCCAAGAAAAAGGCCGACTGGCCTGCGCTTGCGCAGGAACTTCAATACCCAGTCAACTCGGTTTCGACTAGTCAAGTTGCCGAGGATTCAGTCTCGCTACTGTTGTCGCTGGGGGTCGAGAACGAGACGTACCCATCGACGATGTCGCTCCAGGATTGGAGTCCACATGAAGCCGGAGCTGCTCTCCAGAAATGGAAGAAGAAGCTTCGGAAGGCGTTTGGCGCCGTTGGCATCAATGCCGGAAAGCAGCCTGTGAGTCGACCGATGATTCAAGATGAAGATCCGTCTAAGATTCCACTGCCGCCGACGCCCCAACGACTCGTTCGTACTCCTCCGACCAAGCGTGGAGCTGAGCGTGGTGCCTTTGGCACTACCGAAGCCTCACCGTACTTTCGAGACTCGCACATGGTTACGCCACGTTCGGAGAGCCGTATGCAACGCATTTACGCAAGTAACGAGAGTTTGTTCGGTCGCCGAGGCGGTGCGCGAGCCCCCAAAGGTGGTGCCGGACGTCGTCAAGTCGACAGCGATGGTTCGTCCAGTGACGATGACATTTTGGTGCGTACATTCGACGAGGAAGATCCTCAACTCGAGTTGATGCGTCAGATGAATGAGCTAGCGACGCTGAACGACGTGGACCCAACACCGAGGATTGAAATGGCTTCGCACCGACCGCTGGATCGCATCACGCCGTTCTCAGGCTCTCGCAGCAAAAGCGAGAACTGTATGCAGTGGCTCCGTGGGTTCGTCTATGAAATGACTGGAACCCACACAGATGCCGATAAATGGTGCATTCCATTTGAGCTAAGTCTCCGAGACGGAGCCATTCATTGGTTCCGTCAACTTCCGAAGAAGACGAAGCGCAAGTGGAAGCTGCTGAG